TCCCAACCCCTATCCCAGCCTGGAGCCCCCTCCTGCACACAAATTCCTCATCCTTGTCCCAACCCAGAGCCCACACCCCTTCCTGCACTCCATACCCCTTGGCCCCTGTCTGGAGCCCCCTCCTGTATCCCAAACCCCTCATCCCTGGACCCACCCCAGAGGCTGCACCCAGAGCCCATACCCCCTCCTGCACCGCAACCCCTGCCCCAGCTGGTGAAAGTGAGTGAGGGTGGGGAAGAGTGAGTGATGGAGGGAGGGGGGATGGCGTGAGTGGGTGCATGGCCTCGGAGAAGGGGTGGGGCATGGACGGGGCCTCAGAGAAGGGGCAGGGCAGGGTGTTTGGCTTAGTGTGATTAGAAAGTTGGCAACACTACTAAACTAGGATGAGCAGACTTCCTTCACTGACAGCTTGGCGTAAGTGAAGTTAATAGACTGGTAATTGTCCTGTCTGGAAAACCTGAGAGATGCTTCAGGTTACTGAGTCTGCTTATCTTGTTCCTCTAAATATCAAAGATGGCTCAGGACTGCTGAGTCTGTTTTGTTTTAGTCCCTTCCAGTGGGTTACTGGAATCTGATGTAACTTAGCTTAGGTTTCCTACATGGATTTCACTATGACAGAGGTGGGCAAACTACAGCCCATGGGCCACAATGGGCTCGCGGGACCCTCCTTCCCGGCCCCTGAGCTCCTGGCCTGGGAGGCTTGTCCCCCGGCCCCTCCCCCGCTGTTCCCCCTTCTCCACAGCCTCAGCTCACTGCTCCACCGGAGCAATGCTCTCGGCGGCGGGGCTGCGAGCTCCTGGGGCAGCGCAGCTGCAGAGCCTGGCCTGACCCGGTGCTCTGTGCTGTGCAGTGGCGTGGCTGGCTTTAGCCGGGTGGTGCGGCTGTAGCGCCGCCAGCCAGCGGTGCTCCTGGCAGTGTGGTAAGGGGGCAGGGAGCAGCGGGGTTGAATAGAGGGCAGGGCAGTTTGGGGTGGTGGTTGGGGGGTGGGGGTGTGGATAGGGGTCGGGGCGGTCAGTGGGTGGGGAACAGGAGGGTTGAATGGGGACGGGGGCCCCAGGGGGGCAGACAGGAAGGAGGGCGGGTTGGATGGGGCAATGGGGGGCAGTCAGGGGCGGGGGTTCCGGGGCCGTCAGGGGACAGTGAGCTGGGGGGGGTGGATGGGGCAGGGGACGCGGGGGGGGGCTGACAGGGAATGGGGGGGTTGGATGGGGCAGGAGTCACAGTGGGGGGGCGTCGGGGCGAGAAGTGGGGGGGCTGGGGGCCGGGCCACGTCTAGCTGTTACAGGAGGCACAGCCTCCCTTAACCCGCCCTCTATATAATTTCTGAAACCTGATGCGGCCCTCAGGCCAAAAAGTTTGCCCACCCCTGCACTACGACCTTATGAGGCCTCCCGATAGTTAGGGAGGCTGTCACCACCACCGGGTGGTGGCCCGAGAATGGAGCTGGCCTAATGCTGGTGGAGTCAGTGGGCCCATGAGTTGTGGAAGTGAGAGATGTAAATGCGGTCTAACCATGAATGACACAACTGAGTGTCCTCCACCTGTTCACAGGTGAAGGTGGTGGAGTTGTCTGGGTGGTGGTCATGCCAGACGTCCACCAGGGAGTGATGGGCGACAATCTCTCAGAAGACGTCCTCAGTGGTCTGGCTCTTCTCTGCCCCAAAGCATTTCATGATCACTTTCACCCAAGCTGCCTTCCACTTTCAAATTCTCAACCAGTTCCTCCCTATTTGTCAAAATCAAATCTAGAACAGCCTCTCCACTAGGCGCTTTCTCCATCTTCTGAAATAAAAAATGATCTCCAATACATTCCAAGAACTTGTAGGGTAATCTGTGCCCTGCTGTGTTATTTTCCCAACAGAAATCTGAGTAGTTGAAGTCCCCCATCACCACCAAGTCCTGTGCTTTGGATGATTTTGTTAGTTGTTTAAAAAAGCCTGTTGTTTACCCTATGTCAAAGCTGTATATCCACGGTGGTGTTAAAATCCCCAGCCACAGCCAGGCATTCATGAGGATCCAAAGCACTGGATGCCTGCCAATAGAAGTGCACCTGCTCCAGGCCCCGTATCAGGGCATAGATGTTGATCAGATTGAGAATCAGCCACTCCACACACACCTGGAGGTGCAGCAGGCATCCAGGCATGACTTTGGCAACCCCCTAGCACCTTGGAGCATAGATCTATGGAGAACAGGGTGGCCACTCTGCTTAAGAGCATGGTGGGGTGGCTGAAATATACTGTCTCCCCACTGCAGATGCCTGCTGGCTTCGGCGGCCAGATTGATAAGAGTCTCCTGCAGGAAGATCACAGAGTACCCCTCTGCCTGAAGGAAGGAGTGCACCTGTCACCTGCAGTCACTCTACATCCCCTGATGTTCATGGAGGCAAAGGTGGTGTGGGCCTCATTGGGGAGGCAGAGGATCTTCAGGGCCAGGAGTGCTAGCTGCAATCTGTGGCCCAGCCTGAAAACATTCAGGGAATGGAGGAGCGGTAGGCTGCGGTGTCCTGCTTCATGGTGCCCTTGCCAGTGCTTTTGTTTTCTTGCTGAGGGAGATGATATGTGTACGCCAGCAGTTACAAGTTACCACACAAGTATATTTATTCTTAGTGCAAAAGTTTTACGGAGAAGATATATAAAGAGCAATAAATGGATTTACATAAACACTAAACATACCAGAAATAGTGTATTTTCCATGTGGGCCATTGGTAAGCCTTCCAAACCTTCAGCAAGGGGTGGGGCCCCAAGGCCAAAAGTTCTCTTTGCCAAATCTAAAAAATGACCCTGAGTCTACTTTAACCCAGCCTTTTATACCAAATGTCTTATTGTGTCTCCCTGCCTCCTGAAAACAGGAAAAACCTTCCCACTGCCTATTATCCAAGAGGTCAAGCTTCAAAGCTAACCTTGGGGTTCTGCATTAATTGCATCCATGTGGTACAAAGAGCTATGGATATTCCACAGCTCATACTGTCTGGCCCATCGCAGTAGAATGTCTCTTTGATGTTTTTTTCATACTTTCAATGTAAAATACAATCTAGTCCCCAAAGATACTGTTGGGGACACTGGGGCATGGCCACTAGGTAACTCGAGGGAATGGAAGACCATGAGTGTCGATGAAGCCCCCTCACACTAGGCCCAAGTGTCCTTGGTGCCCTCCCCCTCCCCGCCTGGAGGCACTCGCAGCAGCTCTGTGTACTAGGCCCAAGTGTCCTTGGCCCCCCCGCCTGGAGGCACTCGCAGCAGTTATGCTGAAGATCTGCAACAATATGTTGCAGAGTCAGACTGCCTGAAACTAAGCTAGGCCAAACAGGGCACATATGGAAGAACAGTGCTGAATAAAGCAGCTTTATGTATGGTTTAAGAAATGATACAGAGCACAAGGGCACTAGCTGGGAACTGGATTGGCTGGCTATATGGATACTTAGGGCAGCTTGCTATTGGATAAGTATGCTGGGAAAAAGGATGTATAAAAGCCTGTGTAACTTCCTGCTCTGTGTGCAGGATTTGAGATTCTATTCTCCCTGTACCTTTTTGCACTTGCAAATAAACTTTTCTGCTTCTCCACCCCGTTGTGATTATTGGGTGTAGCACACCGGGTAGCGAACCAACTCCAGCTGTTGTTTAGCCTCTCGGCACTGGGTGCTGGCAACAATACCATATGTGGTTGCAGTATCTGTCTAGGGTTGCCAGGCATCCGGCTTTCAACTGGAACGCCCGATTGAAAAGGGACCCTGGTGGCTCTGGTCAGCACCGCCAACTGGGCCATTAAAAGTCCAGTCAGCAGTGCAGTAGGGGCCTGGGGCTTAGACAGGCTCCCTGCCTTCCCTGGCTACGCACTGCCCACGGAAGTGATGGCCAGGTCTCTGCAGCCCCTAGGTGCTGGGGTGGCCAGGGACTGGGAGGCTCTGCGTGTTGCCCTTGCCCCCGCCCCCAGGGCCAGCTCTGCAGCTGCATTGGCCAGGAACCATGACTTATGGGAGCTGTGGGGGGCGGCACCTGCAAATGCGAAGGCAGCACACATCGCACAGAGCCGCTTGGCCACCCATGCGCCTAGAAGCTGCAAGGACCTGGAGGCTGCTTCCTCGGAGCTGCGGTAAGTGCTGCTCGGATCCCGCATCCCCATCACCTGCCCCAGCCCGGAGTCCCCTCCCGTATCCCAAACCCCTCATCTCTGGCCCCACCCCCGAGCCCACACCGCCAGCTGGATCCCATATGCCCTCCCGCACCCTAACCCTCTGCCCCAGCCCAGTGAAAGTGAGTGATGGTGGGGAAGAGTGAGCGATGGAGGGAGGGGCATGGAGAGACTGGGAGGTGAGTCTGGGAGAAGGGGCGGGGCAGAGCTGTTTGGTTTTGTGTGATTAGAAAGTTGGCAACCCAAAATCTGTCACCGCTAGCTCTGGGGGAAACGGTGTCAGCGACACGCACACATACACGCACTCAGGAACAATCCTATGGAGCTGTGAATTCAGTGCCGGAGGAGTGGTGCGGTTGACGTGTATGGTGAGTGTGGCCGTAGGGAAGGGCTGGGCTGATGCGGGCACGGTCACAAGGATGTTGATTCCAGAGGCTGTGGGGGGAAGGTTTTAGTCCAGTAATGGCTGCAGCCAGGGTAGCCAATAGGTGCCAAATCTGCACCGCCAGATGCTTTTAAAAGGACCTTGAAATCTTTGTATTTACTAATTATTATCAATATTTTTTTAAATTATTTTCTCTGGAAGCTGGACCTTGACCATGAACAATTGACTTGACTATGCCCGGCCTGAGGTGAGTGGGCTGGTGTTTTGGAGCTGGTTCCAGGGGGAAGGGTTTGGGTGACGCACACAGCGATCAGGACTGTGTGTTCTGCAGGGGAAGGGTTTAGCTGACGCACACTGCAAGCCGGGCGATGAATCAGGGGAAGGGTGTGAGTGATGCACGGGGTGGTCAGGGTTGTTGGTTCCGGGGAAGGGGGCCGGGTCGCTCCGATGTCATCGTGCTGCGCGCGAAGGGCCGGTTCTGGTATGTCCGCGCTCGGCGGAGGGTGCGGCCGGAGCCGGGCTCGGCGGGGCTGCGGCTGTTTCGGTCTGAGCGCCCGCTGCTTTCAGCCCTGCCCCGGGCGGGGCGCCGATCGAGCTGTTCCACCCCCCGCTAGGGCCGCCCTGCTGGCGCCCCGGGCCGGTTGTGCTGGCTGCTCCCGAGCCGCGCGGTCCATATCCTGATACGCTCTGGCGCTTTCCCCCGTTTTCTTGTAGCTGTAATAGCCGGGCCGGCAGGGAGACTCTCCGTGCCAAAGGAGAGGTCTTCAGGAGGAAGTTGTTAGAAAACAGGCTTCATAATGGAAACCGTGTTGCAGTTTAAACCTTGTTATTGCTGTCAGCTAGCGTAACTGGAGAAGTAATGACACGGTTCCGAAGATGCCGAAGTATTTCCAATTTGATTTCGGTAAATAAAACGCTTTTGCAATGTTTTGTTTTTTAATACCTCTTAACAGAAAGTTGCACTGTGCCAGTGTCGTATATTTTTTTAGTGGTTTTAATCACCATTTGGGATGGGGTGTGACTTAGACTGTACTAAGCCTGAAGGTGAGTAAGGACTGAGCTAAAGGGCTCCATATCTTGTAGCCCAAATGGTGAGGCTTCCATTGGCATCACACACTTTTTTCTGTTTATTTAAAACCAAAAATGTCGGACGTTTCAGAAAAAATTGTAAAGAGAACATTAATATTCCATGGTTTAAACACCTAACATTCAAGATATGCTTGTTATGGCTACTCCTGTAATCCTAACTCTGCCCCTTGTGTGTGTGCGTTTCAATATAAGTTTTAATTACATGATATTATGTAATAAAGTTGACATGGTTGTAGAAAAATGTTGTCTATTTTGGGGAGATGTACATTACATGAGGCAGCACTTGTTTTTTCCTGATCCTCAGAGGTTTCAGGCGGTCTGTCTCTTAGGACTTCTGTTCTGGGAAAGTGTGTCTGTTTGAGTTAATCAGCATTTAGACAGTAGTGGCATTTTGGGCAGGATTTTCCCCAGCCACATGGGTGAATTGAGTGTGTGAATCCTTGGTTGTAAGCAAGATGGGGTCACAATATTTAATATTACCAATTCAAAAATTATAGATGCACAAACTCATTATGGTGTCATCTTGTCTTTATTTCTACTTTATTTCTCTCCTAGACTGGCCTTTGGGGATGTTGAAGAAAAATTTAATGTTGTTCAACATTGTGCAAGCTGTACAAGAGAAAAATGGAGAATTTGATGTAAGATTTATCTTTCTACTTCTGCATCGTGGTCTATGAGATTAGGAGTGTGTCACTGTATCGTGGCTACCACTGGCAAGTGAAAAAGTTCCTGGTCTTCAACAGTGTTAAATGAAGCCAAATGCTTATTTTATTAGACTCCTCTAAATCTAATGTGAATTAGAAGCACAATGCTTAACATGTGCATAGTGCTTCCCATCTTTAAGATATTGAACAAATATTAAGTCTCACAACCTCTTTAAAGTTAGTACTACAGCTATGTTTTATTCTCATATTTGCAGGTGGGAAACTGAAGCAAAGAGATGCAGTGACTTGCTCAAGGTCACTCACTGAGAGTATGTTTACACTATGGAGACTGCATGGACATAGCTGTGGAGCTGTAGCTATGCTGGCATAATCCCATAGTGTAGATGCAGCCTACACTGATGAAAGGGGTTTTTCTGTTGTCATAAGAATACTACCTCCCCAAGCAACAATATGTGCATCTTCACTGGGGTTTAGGTTGGAGTAACTATGGCATTCAGGGGTGTGGATTTTTCACAGCCTTAATTTTAAGTGTAGACCGGGCCTTAGTTAGTGGCAGAGCCAGAAATAGAACCCAGGAGTTCTGGCCTTTGGCTCCCACTCTCATTCTATATTAATCGTAATGTAGAACTTGGATTACTTTACCAAAATTGATTTTTGGTTTCTGAGTGGCAGTTCATACAAAGGTAACTATTTTTCATAAAACCCAGCCATTTCTGAGTTAAAGTGGATGAAAGGAAGGGTGTCTTTACTTGTAAACATTTTGTAAGTTATATTTTTTTTTAAAAAGTGAGTTAAATAACAAGTGTTGTTACCTGTCACTTCATTTACAACCCCAAGCACTTAAGAGTGAAAAAATTAATAGCTGCAAGATACTGTAAATCTTGCTCCTACACATATGAGAAAATAAATATTTATTTTCAAATAGAAATGCATATTTCATTATAACACATCAACTTGAAATCTGGTTTGCTTTTTAAAAATATTTTGATAAGTACTTTCTTCAGATTCCCTTAAATGGGAAAACTTGTGTTCTTTATCAGTTGGCATCAGTATTTTTGGGTGAAGTGTTTCTAATTTTTGTTTCTTGAGAATGATGTATGTAGCTTAATAGGAAAAGTGTGTTCTGTGTTTGTACAGTGCCTAGCCCAATAAGGTCCTGGTCCATGACAGGGGCTCCTAGCTGTTACAGGATTACAAATAAGTAATAAAACAGTATTGATTTATAATAAAATTAAGGATGTATGTGGACTTGCATTTGAGACTGATTAACGTGTTACTGATGCCTTTGTTTTTCAGACATGTTTATATTTTGAGACTGGTGATGAAAGAATATTGATTTTTGCGTTGGAGCCAAGGTAGCTGTGATATGTTGCAATAGACATTTATCATATTTAATAAACACGTTACTCTCAAGTGGGAGTGTAAAATGGGATAATCTCTAGACTAGTAAATATTGTTTTGAAGAGCTTTAGTGTAGTAAGTGATATAACAGGTATGTACAGTGTTGTCACTTTTTGAACCTTTTACTGCTTTTTTTAATGAGATTTTTGTTTTTGCATGTTTTAACATCTTCCAGTTTTTTATTTTTCTTGTAGTAAATTAACATAATTTTTAAATAAATGGGAAGGAGAAACATGGGACTCAGTGGCCTTTTTTCCTAATTCTGAAAGATGCTGTGAAAAAAGCGAACCAAACACCTTCACCATCTCATGACTCTGTCTTGAGCAACTGCAATTCAGTGACCTACTGTGAGTTAAACAGTGTTAGTAGGAGTCTATTACACTTGCCTAAAACTACTGTTGCTGTGGAATATAATCCAAATTTTGAGCTGAATATGAACTATTATAGGATCAAATTAATTCATTGTTTACTTTATATCCAACCATAAATTCCCAAGTGGATTTTCTTTCAGGCTGCATCCTATCCATAAATCCCATTCATTGCCATACTGGCTAATGCCCAACTCACCTGCATTCAAAGTAATTTTTTGCAGTTCCTTACGCTTTTTTAAGTCAGCTGATAATTGACAGACTGCTACAAAATCTCCTCTCAGATAGGGCATGGGAGGTTTCATGGCTTTTGTATTTTGAATCTTGCAACTGTGGGCCTGGTTAGCCATGAAAGTCACTCAATGTATTTTGTGTTCAGGCGGGAATTATCATGGCAAGGTCTGAGTTAGTTTGCTGTGAATAGCTGCTTATATATTTTCTGACCTCTTGTTATGTTCTCGTGCTTCCTTGCCCTGGCTAAGGGTGGCTAGTCAACAGATCATGTCTGGATTTTGCCTAGGCATTTGGTGGGCATTACCAGTCAGTGGTTGAACTCTTTGCAGAGGTGGTGGAAGAAGTAAACAAGTGTCTTTTGAAAGAAATTACCAGAGTCTGCACCTACAGTTGCAGGTAGGGTTATAGCATATCAGTGGAAGAATGCAACCTCAACTGCCTTGAAAGGGAACAGGTCACATTTAAACCTAAGCATAGGCAAACCCCTCTCTCTCTTTTTTTTTTTTTTTTCCTTCTTGGCATCCCACATGGTAGATAAAAATTCCCAACCAGCAGATAGGGAACAGGACAAAAGTAAAACCTGTGACCACTTAAATGGCCACTTGAACATGCTAATTTTTCCTGTTACAGCAAGTGCAGAGAGCTGATTTTGTTGAAGGACAGTGACAATAGACAGGAATGTTTATTGTCTTCAACTGATAAAGACCAGAGGGGCTTCATATAATCCAGGAGGCTTTCCTCTCTGTTTGGGGTACTGAGATAGGAAGGAAAGCTTAAAAGTGTGTGCTGTAACATGTGTAAATCTTTTTGGTCAGTGTCCACAAACATGGATGCTCAGTGACCAGTTTCTGCTGAATTGATTATGGAAGGGTGCATTGTGGTGGTTTTCTGCCTGGCGGATCTGTGACAGTGTCAGAGTGGCCTCAACCTACCACAAAGAGTATAAAGGAGAAGGACAGTCATGAAAACTTTTCCAGAACTTTCAGTTTTCAGTTATTCTTCCAGCTCCTACAAGGCGGACCTGCCTCATAAGTTTAAGTCTGTAGAGACAGGTGATCATCTGTCTCACATGATGACAAGCAGTACTGAGGGGTGTACAAACCCCCGTGATGGATTTATTGTCTTACCTAGGAGAATAGTATGGTTTGTGTCTTTTTTCTTATTGTGTCTCCCATCTCCAGGTCTCCAGGTGATTCCTGTACCACTCACTCTTGTGCTACTGAAGATATTAAAGAGTCCTTTATTGTACAAGCGCAAGAACAACGGATCGAATTACTAGAAATCTCAGAGCACTTGGATATCACGCAAGTATGAAACAAGATTTTCACTTCTCATTTATTTAACCGTAATCCTTTCTGGTTTGTCATTTCATCGAAAAGTATCCTTTACATGACCAGAGTTAAGCTGTAGGCAGTTGTTGTAATAGAAGATACTGTAGGCCTGATTTTTTCAGAGGTGCTGAGTACTTAGTTATCCAGGTGAAGACATTGTGCCCTGCAAGTGCCCTGCATCTCTGAACATTAAGCCCTGTATCAGTAATTGCTGTAGGTAGATGGTTTGGTGTAGCATTTAGTTAAACATTGCTTGTATAACCTCCTATTCCTTTTATTTAAATAAAACCCCTGAGTTTCCCAAAGGTAGGTGCAGTTTTTTCAGCGTTTTTCTTAACGATTTAATTTATAAAAACAGCCTTTATGTTTTGTAGATTAGTCACCTCTCTGCTATACGGTGTCTGTAAGTAAAGCTCAGAAGCCAGGGGGAGTCAGAAATGTCTGAGGTGAGGGGATATAAGAAATAAGTCTTCATTTGGTGTACCAGTCATGTGCACACGGTCAGCTGAATTTGTTCCTGGAAGAGCAGGTACACCTCCATTTGCTCCAGTGGAATAGTAGTAGTGTATGCCAGCTGACTGGCTTTTTGGTGCACTTGCCTGGGTAGAGTTTAGAAAGCTCTTGGCCTTCTTGTTTGATCAATGACTAATAACTAGCAGCAATGTAGCTTGTTGTGTCCTTTGGACCCATTACTCCTTGGAAATCACATCTGCAGCAGAAGTGAGACACAAGCCAAAAATTAAGTCCCTGCTTTTTCTTTTAACTTGGGCACACCCTGATTTATCTTCATGCAAGCTGCCTGGTCAGCACTACACAGAGAAGCCTGACTTCAAGCAAAGCTGAGGCTTTTCTCACCCTGACTCAGAGAAAGCTCCTGTGAGGAAATGGGAACATAAATACTTAACTTTGTAAAGGACCTAGATGCCATGAATAAAACCAGACTCGCTTTTCAAGGTGAATATTAACATCCCTTCAGTACAGGAAGGGCCAGATCTTACCTCATGATCCTGAAGAGTTGACTGGCTAGCGTCTCGGCAATGGCACAGATGTGTTTGTATTACTATTTAAAGGAATGCAAGTGTTTAATATACCCTCTGTGCATTGGGAAGTAAAAGGGCTTGATTTTCAGCAGGTGGGGATGTGCAAATTATGTTTATATGTTGAAACCAAACTAAAATAATTAAAGATGCTTCATCCTGGGCTGTGTAAAACTCCACTAAACTGAGACAAAAACAGCATTAGCCAGACCAACTGCCTTGCTGTGGACAAAACCAGACATCAGCATGAGATGAACTTCCTCTCTCCTTGCATCCTGCAGATCCCCTCACACCACAACTTCTTTACAAACTCCGCATTCTCCAAATGCTTTTCACCATGTACTAATGGTGAGCATATTCAGACAGTTTCAGTCAAGAAAATGAATTTCTAAGTTGAGGGCCCTGTCCTACCAGCAGCATCCTCTCTAGTAAACCAAGGAGGCTGTACTCTGAGCACTTCCATTGATCTTGTGTCAGCAGCTCAAAAGGGCAAAGGCATCTCAGGCAGGCAAGCCTCAGGCCATCTAGAGCTTTACAGGCCAAAACAGACATCTGAAACTCCACCCAGCGGCCAATAAGCAGCTGGTGTAGATCACAGAACACTGGTGGTAGGAGCTCCTGGCAAGTTACCCTAGTTATTCTGAAGCAACTTTAGTTTCCAAATGGATTTAAGGTACTATAGTCCCACATTGCACTAGTGAATGATGAAGGCCTGCATAACAGAGGCCACCCAAATTGGGTTTGACACACATGCAGAGTAAGCTAGCTGCCTGTCTTGCTGTGTGCATGCAGAAAGTGGGGTGTGCATGCAATGCATTCATGTGCATATGTGCCTAGGAATGTACTGAAAAACAGGCCCAGTGAGTTGGTAACAAATTTCAGACATGCGAAGTCTTCCTTTCAGTGTTTTATAAATTCATCATCAGTATCATCAAATGTGCACAATATATTGAGGGCCATTACGCAGCTGGAGTGACCATAGAATCATAGAACTGGAAGGGACCTCGAGAGGTCATCTAGTAGTCCAATCCCCTGCACTCAAGGCAGGACTAAGTATTATTTAGACCATCCCTGAGAAGTGTTTGTCCAACCTGCTCTTAAAAATCCCCAATGATGGAGATACCGACAATCTCACTAGGCAATTTATTCCGAATGCTTAATCATTCTGACAGGAAGTTTTGGATGATGGCATCGTACCAGACATTGCAGAGTGAAGTTCCCAGATATGGCTCAATTCTGAGAATCCATGAATCTCTGGGGCAGTCCTGCAGGTGATGTCAGGTAGGTGTCAAGGTGCATCAGTGAAGAGTTTGAGAGCACAATGAGCTGGGGTGTTTTTGGCCCTCTTGGCAGCATGGCCAAAGAGCAAGCAATTGGAGGAAGACCAAATCTCGCTCGAAGCTGAACCATTTTATGCACAGCATATAGAATGCCTCTAGCTGCTCCAAGTCTGCTTGTAGGAGGGTCCAGGTTTCTGACCCATACAGCAGTGCAGGCAGTACACAGGTTTGTTAGATCTTGAACTTTGTCTTAATGCAGAAATATTTTTGCATTCATAGGCAAGACATAGACTTCATTCAAGAGGCAGTGAGACCTATTCTTCAGTGGATGTCCAGTTTGTTGCGACCATTTGAACTCGTCCCCACCTGCACCAGGGTTTCTGGTAGCCCAGCTCTGAGGCCTGGTCTACACTACAGAGTTTTTGTTTGCAAGGCAGCTTATGTTGACCTAATTCTGTAAGCATCTACACTAAAATGTTGCTCCCACCGATGTAACTCACCCTCTCCACTGACTTAGTAACTCCACCTTCACGAGAGGCATAGTGCTTAGGTCAACATAGTTTGGCTGACACAATATCAGTGACCCTGCGTTACTTATGTCTCCATTAGTGGCTTCCAGGAGGTGACCCATGATGCCCCATCGTAACTGCTCTCGTCACCTTTTAGAACTCCACTGCCTGGCAATCAGATGCTCATGTACATGCCCCTCCCCCTTTAAAGCCCCACAAATTTTAAATTCTGTTTCATGTTTGGTTGGTGTGGAGAGCTCACATAGCAACTGCCCAGCTGACCATGCTGGCTCCACACAGCAAACGTGCTCTTGCCTGGAGTACACAGCAGGTGGTGGCTCTCCTCGGTCTGTGGGGAGAAGAGGCGATGCAGGCACAGCTCTGATCCATCCGTAGAAACGTTGACATCTATGACCAGATCACTTGGGGCATGGGGGAGAAGGGCTACAAAAGGGACGTGCAGCAGCGCCGTGTAAAAATCAAGGAGCTGCAGGAGGCGTACCAGAAGGCAAGGGAGGCAAACTGTCACTCTGGTGCGGAAACGCAGACATGCTGCTTCTACAAGGAGCTGCAAGCCTTCCTTGGCGGAGACACCACCACCAAGAGCCCCGTGGATACTTCGGAGGAGCTAAAATCAGAGGCCCCTGCAGTCACGACAAGCAGGAGGAGTTTTGGAGGACAGGTGAATGGGGGAATCCAGTGGCACAGTGAGCCAGGACCTCTTTCTGACTGCTGGAGCAGTTGAGCAAGTCCCTACTGTCCAGTACCGGCGAGCCTGATGCAGGGGTTGGAACCTCTGGTAAGTATGCTGTTTGTTTTGATGTTGCAGGGACATGTGTTCATTTACTCTTTTTTAATCAGGCAAGAAGAGAGAGCAACTCTGCCTCTACTGGTTATTTCACTCTGTGCCTCTCATTCCCCTATTCAGCTAGGCAAAGGGGGCCCTGTGGAACAGTCTATTTATGTGCACCGGGATGTCCTGGGAATCTTCCATAGAGATTTCAAGAAAACTTTCCTGGAGGTAGTCTGCAGTCTTTGAAGGTTTCTGGGGAGGACTGCTTTATTTGTTCCACTGCAGTAGGACACTTTCTCACACCAGTGAGCAGTTACATCAGCAGGCACCAATGCAGCACACAGGCTAGCAGCAGACGGATCCAGTCTCCAGCCAGACTTGTTCAGGAGTTGTTCCCTTTCAGCCTCTATTACCCTTGGGAGTGAGATACCAGCTAAAATTACCACCACCTGTAGAAAATGGTGCTAGTATTCCGTTCAGTTGCCCTATCAACATATACTGATGCCCGTGTGCTCACCCCTATTATTGTCCCAAATCATCCCTTTCCTACCCCGGGCCATAATCATGGCTAAGGCTATGTTTCAGGCACGGGTATTTTTAGTAAAAGTCATGGAGGGGCGGTCCGGGGGTACCACAGGAGGTGGCTTGGGGCAGGGGTGAGGGGGAGTTGGTGGGGCTGGCAGGGTCTTCCAACCTTGCTCCACATCTCTGCAGCTCCTAGGTGGTGGAGGCAGGGGTCCTGCTGCTCCCCCACAAGCACCAACTGCCGCAGTTCCCATTGGTTGGGAACTGCAGCCAGTGGGGGGAGCAGGGCCTGCGGCTCCCCCTACCCCTCTGCTGCCTAGGAGCTTCAGGGTGGCCATGTCAGTGGGAGCTAGGGAGCCCCCGCACCCCGAGGTAAGTTCCCCTCCCCCCTGCACTCCCCCTGCCCCTAGCCCTGAGACCCCACCCACACACCCAAACTGCTGCTGCTGGCCCAGGGGCTGCCCAGCTTGGGCAGTCCCTGAGCCAGGACCAGCCGCTGCAGAAGTCATGGAGGTCACAGAAAGTGATGGAATCTGTGACCTCCGTGACAGACTCACAGCCTTAATCATGGATGAATACCAAGGGAGCATGTAGTGATCCACACAAGTTACAAGCAAGGAGAGTGAAAACACTTAAAATAGTACCTCTATGCATTGTGCTTTTTGCAGCTGGAAATTTGGCCTTGAGGCTCCCTTCATCCACACCACTGGAACAGCTCAGATGATGAGAAGAAAGGGGATGAGGGATGACATGTTCCAAGAGATTCTGCAAGCCTCTGGTGTTGCACATCGAGCAGAGGGCTTGGAGAAGCACCCTTGTGGACAGAATGGAAAGAGATAATGCAGAGAGGAGTGACACACACAGCAGGTCATGATGTTGGATCATATTAAAGAAGTTCTGTATTAAAATCACAAATGAGTTTGATTCCCCAGAGTTTAAATTCCAGGGTATTACTAATTAAGAGGTCTCTTGGTTTTTGGTACTGTTTCTCTCCCTCTATGTGTGAAACTTGCAAGCTGCTAATTGTGTTAGTACATTCTAAGACAGAGTCTATTCTCAAAGCAATTCACAGAGAGAGAGACTCAAAGCAATACTCTAACAACAGAAACAGCACCCAGAGACTCCCCACCCTTTTGTTGTATTAACAATTGTGATTAAAATAGAGATAGAGGATGTATGTGGATGGATGCTTGGTGTGGATAATAACTGAATGATCAGGGAGGTGCCAGCCTAAGAATCCAGTGTCCATCGGCTGAAGAAGGCGTCAAGTGGAAATAACCAGAGGACCCCCCGGAGGGCAGACTGGAATCCACCCAACAGCCTCAAGAATGGGAGAACCAAAGAACAAGATAACATCTTGGAGCCGTCAGGAATGTGCTATCTGCTGATTGATTCAGCAACAGCATGATGAAGCAATTCCCATAGACTGGCATAGGAAGAAATTCCTATAAAAATAGACTCTAAAAAGTGAGAACTTTGGGGGTCTGATTCTGCAAACCAACTTCCAGGAGCATCAGATGAGCATCTGACAAGGCCCTGCTCCCTCCTCATGTCCAGGCCACCTGGCCAGTGGCTTCGCATGAGCAACTCTGAGGCTGGTAACTATGATAACAACCTTGCAGAACCTCTGTGTGTGTGTGTGTGTGTGTGTTTGTATGAATGAATGAATGAATGAATGTGTGAATAAATATGAGATTGAATGGAATGTTATAACTAGAACTAACTGCTTACTATGATTCTTTCTGTATTCACAATAAATGTGGTATTTTGCCTTTTTCCCTTTAATAAGATCCTGCTGGTTTTTATTTTATTGGTATAACAATGATAGCGCTTCTCAAGCTCCAGACAGACATGCTGGAGATTCTTATAGACCTTCAGGTCCAAGTAACCCTTGCTTGCCTCCCACTGCAGTCTGTTGATAACTGCATTCTGGGACCTCCCTACACTCCCTGCCTCTACATTCCACATATATTTCTGGGCCATTGCAGTACCCCTACCACTCCACCCCGAGGGAGAGTACACGCAATCCGAGCTGAACATACACTGACCTATGAGAGACATGGTTGGTATATTTGTGTTTGAAATGAGAATGACTGTTCTTTCTCCTTCAAAGGTTCTTTTCCCTGTATTTATATAGTTTCATTCAGTTACAGTTATTTTTGTTTGCATGAGTTTGGAATAAAAGTCTATTTACGGAAACTTAGTTCATCTTTAATAGTTCACAATATATGGTAGCTGGGGCTGACATTCAACGATAATAGCAGTTGGTGCATTTGCAATGTGTTATTACTACACACACAGCACTCATAAGGTTCAAAGCGGAGTGCTAAAAAACAATGCCAAGTAGAGTACACTACACCAACACTCACTACTGTGGCTCACTTTTGAAATGGTCTTTCGAAGCCTCTCTGAGCTGTAATGCTCCCCGTCGATCTCTTCTTACAGCCCTGGTATCTGGCTGCTCAAAATCAGCCACCAGATGTTCTACCTCCATATTCCACCCTTGCAGAAGCTTTCCCCTTTTGCTTCACAGGTATTATGAAGCATGCAGCAGACAGCTATAGGCCTGGGGATATTTTTTCAATGAAAGTCCAATCCCATGAGTAGACAGCCCTAGCACTGATTCAAATGACCAAAGGCACCTTCAACAGTTATTCTGCACCTACTGAGCCTGTAGTTGAAGCACTCCTTGCTGCTGTCAAGGTGGCTAATGTAAGGTTTCATGAGCCATGGGAACGGGTAGGCTGGGTCTCTAAGGATCACTATTGGCATTTCCATATCCCCAATGGTAATCCACTGCTCTGGAAAGGAAGTCCCTGCTTGCATCTTTCTGAACATCTTTATCTGTTTTTAAAGATGTGTGTGTCATGCAACTTCCCTGATCAGCCCGCGTTGTTGTTGGTGAAATGTCCCTGGTGATCCATCAATGCTTGTAATACCATAGAAAAGTAGCCATTTCTGTTGATTGTACTCCTTGGCAAGGTGGTCTGGTGCCAAAATAGGGATATGCATGCCAGCTATTGCCCCCATTGGAATTTGGGAACCCTATTGCTGCAGAACCATTCAGAAGGTCCTACATGTTGTCAAGAGGACACGATTAATGGCCTTGCACACTTGCATCACATCAACCCCCCTGGTGGATTTCCCAACTCCAAATTAATTCTTGACTTATTGGTAGCAATCTGGCATAGCCAGCTTTCACACAGTGATTGCCACTTGCTTCTCCACCATGAGTGAAGCTCTCATTTTGATGTTGCTGCACTGGAGGGCTGGGGCGAGCTTCATGCACCATTCCATGAATGTGGCCTCGTGCATCTGAAAGTTCTGCAGCAACTGCTCGTCATCCCAAACCTGCATAACAATGCAATTGTGACAGAATCCAGAGGTCCGGTGCTCTGTGGAACAGCCCCTAGGATTACCCCTTCAGTATGTTACCCCCCTGTGGGTCATTCTCGGAGGGATAAACCCCTTGGCTTTACTGCCTCCTGGGACCAAACCTCTGAGCCTTCAGCACCCTGGTTTCACTCAGTGAGCTCCCCTCAGTGAATCCTTTTGAATTGGACTCCTGGAGAAGGCTTGCACATCCAAAGGGAGCAATGCACCCCTAAATTCCGTAATCAGGAGTGACTCTCAGACAGTGTTGTAAAAAACAGAAGGATTTATTAGATGTCTGGAACACAGTGTAGAAAGTCTGTGGTGAACATGAGAACAGAAGGTTACAGCAACGTCCTTCTGGGTCGGTCCTGAGCCGAGAGCTCTCTCTGACCCCCCTTGAATACCAGTCCAGAAGAATGTGCTGCTTCCAGGCACGTTGTGTTCGTAACGGTCAGTACAATATTGAAAAGCAGTGCAGGATCCATGTTTATTACAGAGATGGTGCATGTGCGGGTTTGTGGGGCTTTTGAAAAGATGCATGAAACATTATGGGATGCAGATGATAATATGGGATGGAGAAAACTGCATCATGGGATGTTGAAACCATGTTCCTTGTCACCCCTGCATGACTTGTTTGCCCCCATGAGGCTTTTTAAACCCTTCCCAAAACACCCTGCACCAGATGGTGAGCTACCCACAGTGTACTGTTCTCTGCATCGATGTAAGTGCCGCTAGTGAGGACTTGCACTGCTGACACAAGGAGTGTAGTGTGGATGTAGAAAAGTGATTTTAATTACTGCGGCAGCTGTATGTTGACATCTTTGGTCGACCTAATTTTGCAGTGTAGACATGCCTTGAGGTTTTTGAACCTTGATTTTCTGCTCTGAGATGTTTTAATCCCATAGTGCTCGTGGTATCTTGGAAACTTTGAAGGGCAAAGCTGAAAATCTCTGGCTTCTCCACAAACAAGGCAGCATCCCCAACTTGGGTGGCAGGTATCGAAGGCTGGGGAAGGCTGAGGCTCCCCAAACAACCTTGCGTGGCCCTGCTCACGCTCCGCCCTGGCCCCTTCCTGTTTCCTGGTGCTTAGATATGGGGGGCTTTTCCTGCCAGGGCCCTAGGCTGGGGCTAATGCGGGCTGGCTTGCACTCCAGGGATTGGTGGGGGGCGTGCCACCTGCTCAGTGCTCCGTGGCTGGAGGGGGCCATGCCACCAGCTCTCCTGCCCAGCACTTGGGTGGGAGGAAGTGTCGCCTGCTCACCCGCCTGGCACTCCAGGGCTGAGGGAGGGGGGTCACTCGGGTGGCCTGGGACTGGTGCCACACGGGGGCTCTGGGCTTTGGCAGGAGTGGTGGGGCCGGGGACTAACTTCCCCGAGCCCAGGGTTCAGAGGTGCTGACTTTCTAATTTCCCTGGGTGTGCCCCAGCCCTCCCTTCCCTCAAGGCTCCGCCCCTGCTCCTTCCCACCCCTGCTCTGCCTCTTCCCACCCCATTCTGCCCCCTCTCCTGAGCATGCCCCACCCTCGCTCCACCTCCTCCTGACCCCACTGCTTCCCCTCCCACCCCCAGTGCCTCCTGCAGGCTGCTAAACAGCTGATCATGGGTTGAAGGCGCTGCACAGGAGGCAGAGGAGCTGATCTGCAGTGCTGTTGGTGGGTGCTATTTTTTTTCCGTGGATGCTCCAGCCCCGGAGCACCCACAGAGTCAGTGTCTATGCCGGGGTTCACCCACCGCCCATGATCCTAAGCATACTCTTAATTGGTAAACATTTCTTGACCAACCTTGATTCTAATGTGTAGAGCTGCCAAGTCCTTGTTTCCAATTTTTTTTTTTTAAGCAGAAAAGAGTTTTATTTGTGTAACGCTTACAAAGAATCACCAAAAAGGATAAAGCAATCAAAACAGGAATAAGTATTTAAAGATGAGGAAACTGAGGAACTGAGATGCGAAGTCACTTGAGCAAGGTCAGGCAGCACCATGGTGGCAGAACAAAGAATAGAACGCAAATGTCCTGACTCTCAGTCTTGTGCTTTAACCAGAAGACCCTCCATCCTTTCTCTTCTCCATTTGTGGAATGAGGCCTGAAGTTTTATATTTGTTTGCAAAGATTCCATATGCTTCCAGTTAGTTATGTGTTACCTACGTAGCCACCTTAAGATAATAAAATCATAGTACTTAAAATGAAGAGGTTAACATAGTCATGCAAAATCAGGTATGTATGACATTCGGTATAAGGTAATGCTCTGTGGTTTACATTTTATTTTCCATAGTAAAATGCCTTTTAAAATTGAAAAGTGGGGGATGCATCTGAGTAGCCCTAATTCTACCTTAATAATGTTTTTGGCTAGGAATTGTATTTGTTTATAAGTAGGCTTGGCAGAATTTGATTTTTATTTGTTATAATTTTGACAGACATAGTTTATTCTTAAGCAATTTTAGATGTTTATTTAAATTTTCAGTTGAAGGAAATTATGGGGGTGGGGTTGTCAGACAAATATTTAATGACAGACAAATATAAATAATACTTTATAACTTCTAAAACACAAATTGTCAAACTCACATATCAAAATATACCAAATATACTTAAGTAACATTTTCTTACTTTGCTGATCATCTGTAATCTTTGAAGATTAGTGCTAGAGATATTTTTCCATAGGTTTATGTGCCTTTGATGAACTTGACAGTCTCTAATAAAAATCAAATCCTGCCAACCCTATGCCTGAGTGTGATGTAGTGGCTCTACGCCCCCTTGAATTCAGGGGCAGTTTTGCTCCTGTACTCAACGCAACACAGCCTGTGTGACATCAGAGCTTTGACGCCAAATCTGCAACCTGCCCTGCCAAGGCTTTCGGGGAGCATTTCTGCGTCGCTGATTTGGGTTGCTGTTTTGCCAGGCGGGGGCCTGGTCAGAGGGGGCGGGGCCCGGGGCGAAGGGGGGCCCCCTCCCCCCGCAGCCGGGAGCCGGGTGGGGTCGGGGCCGTGGCTCCAGCACGCGCTGCGCCTCGGCCGTTAGCAGGGAGGGCGAGCGAGTGATGCTTTTACCCGCCGGCCCCGCCCCGAGTCTCGCGGGAAGTGACGTCGGCGAGCTTGGGGAGAAGCCCTGGTTTCCGGGCTGGTGGGGGGTTGCTGCGGGCCCTGGCGTGGGATGGAGCGGCCCCCGGTGGGCGCGGCGCTGCGGGGGCAGCCCGGGGGCAGCTGCGGCCCCTGGGAAATGCGGGAGCGGCTGGGAACTGGCGGCTTCGGCAACGTCTGTCTGTACCAGCACCAGGTGCGGGGGAGCCTCCAATAGCCACCCGGGGTAACCGCCCTGCTCCCCGCGCGGGTGTCAGCCGAAGCCCCGGTAGCCCCCCCTTGGCCCTCGCGTGAGCCGCTGTCCCGACATTAGGGGCTTTGTCTTACAGAGGCAGCCTGTTGCCGCTCTCCAGGTTTTCACACTTACTATCTGGTCACCCCTCTTCCCCCCCTCCCCGCCCGGGTAATCTGCCCCTGGGTACTACTCCCCCCCGGCCCCACCGAGTCCATAGCTACCCCTATCCCCGGTAGCCCCTGCCAACTACTGGGTTATCCCAACGGATCCCTGGGTAGTGCCCCCACCCCTGGGTAGTCCCTGCTGATCATCTAGTGCCCTCTCAGCCCCCCCCCCCCAGCGTAACCCTTCCACCAAACCCACTGACCCCTGGATAACCCCTTCCCCACTGATAATTCCCTACCCCCATCAATTTCATTCTGGCATTTCGGTAACTCCATGTTGTTCTCTTCACTGCTTTCCCCAACACTCTCTGATCTCTGTGACCCCTGACCGCACTGACCACCCCCAAATACCTAATAACCCTCCCACCTCAGCTCCACATAGATGCCCCTGATAACCTAATGAACTGACCCCACCAACATCCCTTCATCCTGACCCACTCATTCCCCCCCTTGTTCTGGCCCTACACTGATTTCCCCCCCCCCACCCATTGATCCCCAGTATCATGCCCCTCTGCTACAACCATCCTACTCCACTGTGCTGAAACCTGGCTAATTCCCAGACTGATTGTTGTGCCATAGCACATTGATTGATTGTTTTTGTTGTAGGATTTAGGTGATAAGATAGCTATTAAATCTTGTCGACTGGAACTAAGCATGAAAAACAAAGACCGGTGGTGCCATGAAATCCAAATCATGAAGAAGTAAGTATGCTCCATCATGATCTTTTCCCTCGCTTTTGGGAGCGGGTGTCCTCAAATCAATTGGGGAGCATTTGCATTTCAGACTCAGAAGTAGACCATAGACTTTTCTTTTGGTCTTAATCTTATCCTAAGAGGTGAGAGTGAGCATCTTTAGTCCACTGGAAAGAAAGCTGTAATTAAAAAAAAAAATCAACTTTACACTGATACTGTAAAGGTAAAACGCTATAATTATGATAAATTAATAAGCTTCTCTTTTCACAGTCTTATAGTTTTATGGAAAAACTACCCTCTGCAGTGAGATGTCTTGTTTGCTCCTGGCCCAGACATGAACTTTGCATGTGACAGGATTTCATAGAATTCCAGTTGCCTGTTTTACGTTCACATTACTCGGTTTATCGAAGAGAAGGTTGAGAGGTGACTTGATCAATGCATTTAGGCACTGCTATGCAGAAAAGAGATCTGAGCAGTTTTTTTTTTTTTTTTTTTTAAAAACCTGGCTGACAAAGGGTCCAAGGGCTGGAAGCTGTAATTGGACAAATTCTATCCTGAAACAAGACATGGTTTCCTAGTATTGGAACAGCTTACCGGGGGGAGTGAGGCACCTACCATTGCTTGGAGTCTTTAAAAATCTTTCTGTCATACTGACTGCCAGTTTTGGGGTTGGGCAGAGTGGTATGGGGTGTGGTTCACCTGCAGGGATCATCTGGGCACGACTCACCTAATCAATTTCCTGCCACTGCTGGGGCCTCCTGCATTTGTGGCACCTCAGTCGCTCCTGTCTTCTGTTTGTGGCACACAACAGTTTAGTTTAACCTCCAAGTTATTGGACTCAATATGGAGATAACTAGGTGAAATTTAGTGGTCTATAATTAAGGCTAAGATTATGTCATGGAGGTCACAGAGTCTGTAAAACTTTCTTGACATTTTCTGGTTCAGTCATGGGGCAGCAGGGGGCATAGTATGTTGAGAACTACTGGCTATGCTCTAGTGATCTAATATTAATGTATTTCCATTCTCCGTCTCAAACAAAATAGAAACTAAATTTTTATTTGAAGATGCCATAGATGCTCAGAAGCTGTAAATAAATGTTAACACCATTAGACATTACATTTAAGGACAAGATTTTCTATAATTTGTAACATGGAAAGATGACTGACTTTCTTAAAAGGGTGGTGTGTTTTAGGGTAACTTGTAGTGGACAGACCCCTTAGCTGAGCTATTAGCTGCACTCCTGACAATTCAACATAAGAAGTGCACAGGGCAGAGCTGGAGCTGCATTTGGCACAGGAGTGCAACTCAGGGCTTTGCTATGTACACAGTACCCATCTTGAGAGCACCTGCACAAGTTCAGCAGCTGTTCTGCAAGTATGAAGCTATTATTAATGCATCTTGGGCACTTAACTCTTCTGTGTCCCCAGTACATTTGTGAGACATATATGAATCACAGTAAGCCAAAGTCATCCTAATAGTAACTGCTTATTTTAATTATTACTATATAGTGCTAGAAGTATGCATTTCACTTTTCACAAGTGAAGTGCCTGGCTCTTGGAGCTTCTAATCTCAGTTGGATAGATACTCTATAATGAAAGGCTCAGGCTGGAGGGAGGGAGCAGAAGTATATGGGCCCAGATCCATGTTTGTGTCCAGTATATTCTGTTGTATAGACTTTCTGCTACTGCTCTGATTCGTGTCTTTGCTGCAATGGGTTTCATCCTGTTTTTCTCTGAATATTGCATGTGAGTGATGTAGCATATATAACCGATGAACATAAAACTGAAAGAAAATGCACAAGTGTAAGTGATCACATAACTAGAGCTTGTTTTATAAAACAATATTAGGTTAACATAATCCCTATCCACGGAATTTCCGTGTAAACCTGTATGGCTTTCTATGCTGATACAGCACTACCTTGTATTTCGATAATGGAGTCCAGAGCACTTTGGCCTGAATATGTGCCAAGAAATGACATCTGCCTCTAAAATTCAGCTACCTCTCGGATGGCATATGGCCTGCTGTTTAACAGTTCATTGCTGTGCTTTAGAATAGAACATGAAGTGAACATTACAATAGCCATTTAAAACTGCAGGGAGAATTTTAGATAAATTATAAGTACTACTATTGGTATTTGGTCAAAACACCAGGGTTCATACATGGCATAGACTTCCTAATAAACATGAAAAGTCAGAACTTCTGTTCTACATCTCATCAGACTCACCGTGCCTTCAGTAGCATAGTAACATTTAATATCATACAGGTTCAGTCCTGACTCAGAGAAAGAGTGTCAGCTGCTGAATCCCTCTTTGCCTTGGTTTTCTTTGGTCTCCCATCAATGAACTAATCAGGCCCAGCCCTGCTTAGTTCAGTAAGAACAGAAGGGTGACATGCAATATCTGCCTGCACAGGCTGAAACACCACTCCTACATGTGAACAAAATCTCTCTTCTTACAAGAACTGCAGTAGTAGTTTAAAATTTTTGCTTTCAGCATTGTGTTCCTTTTGACAGGATTTCACCACTTGCCCAAAACATAGTACTTCGAAGGGTCACAGCAGATTCCATTACTTGACTCAGTTCACTCAGATTTGTCAGCTAACTGCTTCATTGGACAGCAGTACTGTGACGGTGAAATAGTCAGGAATGGATAAGGGCTACCGGTCTGTCACAGGACTGAGAAGGGGGTTCAATAAGGGGCTGTGTTCTCTTTGGGGGCAGGAGGCTCGGAAAGGCCAGAGTTGAGTTGGAGCATCACTTTATTTTTGAAAACTTCATAAATTTGTGTTGAACAAAATGTTGAGACCATGGGGCGCAAGCCTGAAACAGACTTGGGCATGGCACTGGTTCTCTCCTGGGCGCTGGTCAGAGCACTCACCTGATTACAGATACCCTGTGCATTCACTGTCCATGGGCTCATTCTCCAAAATCCTTAACTGAAGTTAGAGGTCAGGCCGGGCCAGTGCTTTTGCCCACATAAAGGCACTAGAGGCTGGGTTAAAGTGAGGAAGGAGAAGTAGAAGTGGGAGAAAGGGAAGAACAGTGGTAGGGAGAGACCGGGAAAGAAGAGGGACAACACTGACCGTAAAAATGGATGACAAGGTAACCACCATATAAAAGCAAAATTTCGTAGAGCGAGAAACAGCCTTTTGAGAAGGAACTAGCTGAAAACTGAAAAGGGCAAAAATTGTAGAAAAAGCCAGTCTGAGGGGCAATTATGATTGAAAGGTAGATGATATGAGTGAGGCTGCAAAATCTAGAAGGGAAGTAGAGACTAGGAAAGAAAATATTACTAGACGAGTTAACAAAAAAAAAAGATGGAAATGTTTAGAGTGTTATGGAGAGTTTGCTTTATGCAACATATTGAATCTCTTAGTTGACACTGAGTTGGCTGTGTGTTTCCATCAGAAGTACAATCTCAGTATTCCCAACTTTGGCTCTTTGGATCCTCTGTGTTCCCCTCATGTTGTTTTGAGAGGTTGACAGGTGTATTTTCAGACATGACCAGGAAATAGATATTAAATGGCTCCCCCTTTCCTTATGTACACATCTTCTACCTATGTAGGTATTCACATAGAAAAGTATCTGAGGGCATCACAGACCTTAACAAATGTATCTTCCCAACACTGCTGGGAGGTAAGGAGGTATCATCCCTCTTGTACAGATACAGAAATTGAAGTGCAGATTAAGTGACATTGCCCATCGTCACACAGGGACTTGAACCCAAATCTCTTGAGTCCCAATCCAGTCCTTAACCATAAGACTAACTTTCCACTCATCACTGATCTGCTTGTTCTTAGAAAGTATGAACTTTGTTTACTGTCCTTGGGTAACACTGGGATAACTTGATGACAATTACTTGCTGGCCATCGCACTTTTAACATTAAATGTTTTTGGGAAAGAAATCTTACTGTGCACATATTTGAAACACATTTTGCTTCTGTTGCTTGATCTTCTGCTGAAATATGTGTCAAGATTTTCATCACGCTTTCCATTTGTTTAGGTTAAACAACCCCTATGTAGTAAAGGCCTGTGATGTTCCAGACGAGATGAACTTCCTAGTTAATGATGTCCCTCTTCTTGCAATGGAGTACTGTTCAGGAGGTGATCTCAGAAAGGTAAAACCTGCTTGTTTGAAATTATAGCTGAATAAGTGATTTCAAAGTTGACTGTCTGTGCGACTAAGTGGATTGGGATTTTTGCACCTGTGTAACAAATGCAAGTGCAAATCCACAGGTGCACCCACACCAGTGTAAGAAGGGGTTTGCACCAGAGTATCTTACAGTGGTGAGTAGTACAAGTGCAATCCCCTTTTTACACTCCCGTCATAGGAACTAAATCAGTGTGGTACAAATTCTAGTAGTTAAATCAAGCTCTTATTTAACCAGCAGTGTGTTTGATACAGATACATAATAGAGAAGTTATTCTGGAGTATGTAAAAGTATGAAAGATGTCACACTAAATTGTCGATTTATTTAGATTCTCACATGGCTTCCATCAGTGTAGAATCTTCCTGGGCTGAAGCTACCAAAATGCTAATATTCCCTATTGATTTAGGAATGTGTTTAGGCCATTGCATGGGCGACTTTCATTTAGGAAGACACTAGACAGCACCTTGGAAGAAATGCTTAATGGTGTATTCACCAGCACTTTTCAGTAGTTTTAATAGAGGGCAGTGATATAGATCAGCACACTTTGTACTCCCTTCCCTTGCAGTGGGAATTGGGAATGACACACTTTCATTTGTAGACTAAGAAACAAAGGTAACTAAATGAGGGATTGGACAAGAATTTGATCTTGTATCTAAAATGATGAGGAAGGCTCTTGACTACAGTGTAAATAGCAGACAAGTCAGATGTGCCACAGACTAAGGACTGGGAGAGAGGCAAATGGGCTTTAACAATGAGAGACTTTGAATTCTGTTTAATCAGTAACTAACTTTTATCCTATTATATCCATGATTTTTTCCATTTCACTTTCATCTTCTCTTTGTTTTCTATGTTAAATACTTCTGGCTTTATTTGAAGCAATTGGAGCAATCCCTGGTTGGATATTCTCAGGAGGAGGAAACTGAAAGTCTGAACCCGGAGGGGACAGGTTAGGGATATACAGAGATACTGAACTGATAATATGGATAGCAGGGCCCCACTCAGAGGTTCTGCCTTCGGTGAATAGGAGCATGGGGAAACCTGAAGGACTAGGAGGAGGGCCAGGCTCAGGCGACCTTGGTTACATCAAATCTCATTTCAGTGTACCATTTGTTAGGTTTTTCAGACCTTGAAAGCTGTGTTGGTGCCTGTGGCTGTTCTGGAAGTGAAATGCTCTAGTCCAAATGATCACCTCTAATGCTTCACACCTAAAGAGGGAGAAGCACTACAGCATATTTTTAATCATCTGTGATCTCATTTTCATCTCTTTTCTGCACTTGTGTGGTGACATCTTTATTTTGCACTGATGTCAATATCTAGTTAAAGTTCTGTAACAGCACCAAGGCTGGAAAATAGTCTGATACTAAATTGTGGTCTTTATCAGTTACTGGTCATCTTGATCTGTGGGGAGTGTTGTCTGAAGAGAAATGAGCCTGATTCTGCCAATGACTCCTTCTCTGTCCTTAGGCATGCTGTGTATGCCCTGTCTACACTAGTAGATCACTAATGGCACCAACTTTTAAAAACATGATCACCCTAGCATGTATTTAAGATGCTTTGTTTGGTGATAGGAGACCCAGGACAGAGGATGGAGTCACTAAAGCCAAGGGAGGACAAGATTTCAAGGGTAGGAGCATGGTTGTCAAAGCCAGCTGATAAGTTGAGGAGCATGAGGCTGGAGGACAGGCCTTCATGTTTGGGCAGAAAGAGATCATTTTAGACTCTGACAACACTTTCAGGGAGCATAGAGGGTGGAAGGTGGATGGAGCTGGAGGAAAGAAACTCCAGGGGTGGTTACAGTGATTGAATGAGAGTTTTGGAAAGAAGAGATTGGGTGTGAGATGGGGGTCTGGGTGAGTGTTCTGTAATCAGGGGACAAAAGCCTTTTCCCCTGGGTGGAGAACACATGATGAAAGTTAGAAGTTGAGAAGAATGAGGGAGAGGGGGGAGCCTCTGGGTGACATAGGAAAGCAGGTGAGAACTCTGTAAGTGATAGGAAGAGGTCATGTTGGATGTTACGTTTTTTTCCTTGAAGAAATCCTGAGTAGAGGTAGGACTTGAGGGGATCAAAGATGGGGGGGGGGGGGATTGTCTGAGTTGTGCGTGTGGCATTCAGTGAGAGGGGAGAAGTAGAACTACTTAGCTGAGACAACGGAGTGAATATGTAGCGGAGAAAGCTTGCATCGTTGTGGGACTGCTGAGATGTGAGAACAAGGGTGGTGAAAAGCAGAAGAGAGATAATAGATGTTGATGAATTGGTGGTTCCAGAAGTGGTGTGGGCAGTGCTGAGGAGATGAGGTAATGGTAAGAGGGAGGAATTCAGTGATGGAAAGGTCAGAGAGAGTAGTATTTGATGAAGACCAGATCAGGTGAATGAAGGAGCTAATCAAATGAAGAGATGAAGGCAGGAAGGTGGGCAGCTACCTAGGGATCATTTGGGACATCAGTTTGGAGGCTGAAGTAGCCAAAATGAAAGTGAGGGATTGTGAAGCATGGGAGCCAAGAGTCAGTCATTGAGGATGGTCAGTGAGATGGAATAAGGTGGGCCATAGATCACAGCAACATGGAGTGGAAGAAAGAGGAGGGTAGTCCAAAAGATGAGTGAAAAGAAGAAGCAGGAAGGCATTGGAAGTGATAGAAATAAGAGAGGGGAGCCAAATACCCCAACTATAACCTGTGCAGGACAGTTTTGTGCAAGGAGAGTTGATGAGGAGTGATTGCAATAGGAAAGTTGCAACAGAGGCAGTATGAGGGGGAGAGAAGGGCCAGGGAGAGTCCAGGTCTCAGTGAGAGCTGGGAGATCGTGAAGTTGTGGTTGGAAGAAGTTTTCTTTTAGATGGACTTGGCATTTTAGTGGGGACAGGAGGAAGGAAACAGTTGAGGTTAAAGGAAGCAAAGTGTTAGCGAGGGAGGATTGGAATGGGACAAGTGATTATGGAAGTGAGGAAGGCAGAAGAGGTATGTGGATTTGTGGGAGTGAGAGAGGTAGAGCAAGGACAGGAGGAAGAGATGCAAATGTACAGATGATGGTGGGGAGTGTGTGTGGTGTTAGGATGGAAGGGTACAGGGGTGGGGGAATAGAGGAGCAGAGATGAAGATCGCACATGTAAGAGGGTAGCAAATGGTTAGTAGAGCCAGCCATGCTGGGGGCAATCCAATGGACAGTTGGTTAATAAGGCAAGCGCTTAGCTTTCAAGTAGATTGAAAAATCGAAGAATGAGAGACAGAGTGCTTAAATCCCAAATAAATATTCAGTGATGAAGAGGGATTAAATGATAGATAACACACAGCTAGCTAGGCCTTATGATGAAATACCAATCACTTGATCTGCCTGGCTAAATATATGATTAGTAGGTGAACAGAAATTAGGCGAAGTGACCTAAAAGTACTCACTGACTGCTCAATGGTTCAGAATGCCAGCTAGCATATAATGAACTCAGTTGATCTGGTAAGGGCAGTAACTTGCAGGCCGGCATTGGATGGATCAACGTTAGAGGGTTATGCAGTCATTGCAGAAGAGAGCACACCTCTTTCTGATACATTCCAGGCATCAGCATGACTGAAGGGCAGGCTCTCTGCACTGCTCAGGTGGTGCAAAGGGAATGGAGACTAATTGCAATGCCCTAGTCAGGGATGCCCTAGTGTTCGGGAGGGGGAGTCTCCAGCAGGTGCAGAGCCCATGTAGCTGGCTTGTGTGCCTTCCTACCCATTGCTCCTTGTGCTGGTGTGTGTGGCTAAGGTGCCATGCAATTCCTGCTGATGGATGGTCCATAGCCAACTTGTTCAGATTAAAGCAGCTGTCACTCTGGGTCAAGCAGAGAACAGGGAGCTGTAACTGGTTCCCTGACTGCCCCTTCACCCCCTTAGACATAGCAAAAATCTGGCCCCGTGTGTTTCCTTCCTGTTCTTTTCATGGAGTACTAACCTAGGGACTACAGGGCATCATGCTCCGTGTGTGTGTGTGTGTGTGTGTATGCATGCATGCATGCATATACATGTGCTCCTTTCTGTTTCTTCTTGTCACTTGGCCTGATTTTCCTTGGCTCCTCAGAAATGGTTTAGACCAGGGGTCTCAAACTCAATTTACCTTAGGGCCAGTGCCAGTCCTCAACCCCCCCCAGCGGGCCAATAATGTCACTGAAGATGGTGTTCACGCCACCTCCCCAGCCCGTTTCCCACCCTTTTCCCTTGCTCCCTTGGCCTCATGCTGCCCCAAATGACTCTGCCTGGCAACTAATGATGCTGCCTCCATGGCTGACTCTGCCCAGCGACTAGTGGTGGTATCTGTGTCCCTCTCCCCCAGCCAATGGGTGCTGCAGGGGGCGGCGCCTGCAGTAGACAGCATGGCTGCATGGATCTCTCCTCCACCGGCAACAGCGGGGATATGGAACCGCTTGCAGGGAGACGAGCTGCCCGAGGTGAATTACACGTTGCCGAGTGCAACCCCTGGGTGGGTCCCAGGAGCAGCAGGATGGAGCAACGTTGTGGGGAGAGGCATGTGAATCTCTCCTGCCAGCTCCCCTCCTGACCCTCCCACCCACTTTCGGCGGGCAGCCTTGAGGGCTGGATGAAAGAACTTTATTAAATGTTTCCGCGGGCCGCAGTGGGGAGGTTCTTGGGCTGCAGATGGCCCGTGGACAGGGACTTTGAGACCCCTAGTTTATATTATTTGTTTAGCGCAGTTGATCCTCCAAGCAGTGATCTTGCTCCTGAGACTTGGGCCAGTCATAAATTTCATTTGTTTGCTTTCATATAATGTTTTGAATTTGTCAAGTTTTTGGGGAATGTGCAGACTCTCTGGGGGCCATGATCTCGCCGTAATGGCTGTCAGTTTTGAATCTGTCATTGCCTGGCCTCTAAACAGCCTACAAGACTGTGTTATATGTAACTACAACAACCTTCACACACTTGGAATCTTCTTTTCAAACCAGTTTCTTGCTCATATATACTTTTGTCTTTCTGTACCTTTTATTCTTTTTCACAGGACCAATTAATTTTGTAGCCCATTTTAATTAAGTGTGAATTTAATTGTTTTCTCATGTTGTAGTGATTGAGGACAGAAGATCTTAACAAATAATTCTTGCATTGCCGACTTAGACTTATTTTTCTTTTCTGTAGTTGTTAAACAAACCAGAAAATTGCTGTGGACTTAAGGAAAGTCAAATACTTTCTCTGCTTTGCGACATTGGTACGTAATCTGCTGCCTTTCTTGCCTTTTCATGTTCGCTATATGTAACTGTTTTGATGTTTCAACAAAACCCTGCAAAAGCAAGTTGTCAAAACAAAGCAGGTATCTCTAGTAGTGGAAGGCTCTTTTGTCCTGCTTACTGGGATAATTTGTGACACGTAGGGCTTCTCTGGAGGTTTAAATCTGCCTTAACTTCAGGTTAGTCTGGGTGAAAATGCCCACATACACAGTGTGCAGTTAATTACAGCACATTAAGACTAAGTCCACACTACAGGCCTTACAGCAGTGCACTACAGTAAGGTCTCCTGCGTAGCTGCTCTATGCCAGTGGGGGAGAGCTCTCCTGCCAGCATAATTAAAATCACTCCCAATGAGTGGTGGTAGCTAAATTGGCAGGAGAGCATCTCCTGCTGACATAGCGTGGTCCACACTGGCACTGTGTGAAGCAGCTCTTATAATATCAGATGCTCAGTGTCATCCTCTTGTTCCTCGTCCTGCTTTCTCCGCTGCTGCTGAGGGAAGAGCTGCATCTGCAGCCACATCTCTGCTTGGTGATGTGGTGGGTGAAGTCCAAAACCAAAGCCACCTGGTTTTGAGTGCTGAAATAAAGCCCAGTCCAAGGAGTGTCTGCATATTCACAGTTGTCAGCATAAGGTCCATGCTGGCCAACAGCAATTCAAAAATGGTGCTAGCTACCCAGAAAGGAAGCAAGGGATTGAGAGTGTAGAACCATAGGATTTAAAAAAAAAAAAAAAATTTGAACTTGCCTGGCTTCTGCTATGCATCCCACAATGCATCCTGCAATATGCAGAATGAGAAATTCAGAATGCACCCAGTTCAGCAGCAAAGAACCATGGGATTCCCTCCGAGAATGCCATGCACTTAATATGCAATAAACCTCGCCGTTTGTTGTGAATTGAAAGAGGGCACAGCCATCCTGGATGCATGCTATTAGCGTGGCTTACAAATTGCATGCTAACTCAATGTGGATTAACCCCTCACCATGGTGTAGTCAAGCTCCTAGAGTTGTGTTTCCTGAGAAATTGATGAATTTGTATTGTCTATATTTATCATGCAACCCAAGATGCTTTAAAGAGCATACCTGCTAAGCATATTTTACTAATAGTAAAGAGTTTGTGAACACATAATGTATATACATGATTCTCTTCTTCTTGGGACTACAGGGTGAGTCAAATCTACCAAAAGAAATCTGTTTGCTTTTGCAGGGAAGAAGTGTTGTTCTTTGAGTGTTTGCACAGATCTGTTCCACTTTAGGTGTGTGTGTTTGCCTTATGAACTGCTTTTAGAGAATATTTTTCCCTCAGCTGTACCTATGGGGGCAGCTTGAGCCCCCTCCTATCTGATGCCACCGTGGGGTGGTACAAGAGGGCGGAGCCACCTCTGGACCCCTTTCAGTTCCTTCATGCTGCCCGTGACAGTTGTCATAGCAACCTTCAATTTATTATAAGTGCTACCTTCAATTCTTTGTCTATATACCCTCTTATTGTTAGGAGTAAGTTCGTTTAGCTAGTTATTAGGGCTGTCAAGCGATTAAAAAAAATTAATCATGATTAATTGCATAATTGCGCTGTTAAACAATAGAATACCATTTATGTAAATATTTTTGGATGTTTTCTACATAATCAAATGTATTGATTTCAATTACAACACAGAATATAAAGTATACAGTGCTCACTTTTACTTTAGATTACAAATATTTGCACTGTAAAAAATAAGAAATAGTATTTTTCAGTTCACCTAATACAAGTACTGTAGTGCAATCTCTGTCATGAAAGTTGAACTTACAAATGTAGAATTATGTACAAAAAAATAAGTTGTTTTTGAATGCAATGTAAAACTTTAGAGCCTACAAGTCCACTCAGTCCTACTACTTGTTCAGCCAATTGCTCAGACAGATAAGTTTGTTTACGTTTGCAGGAGATAATGCTGCCCACTTCTTGTTTACAATATCACCTGAAAGTGAGGTGTCACTTGGCTCTCATATGGCTCTCTTGTAGACAGCATTGCAAGATATTCACATGCCAGATGTGCTAAACATTCGTATGCACCTTCTTGCTTCGGTCATCAATCCAGAGGACAAGCTTCCATGCTGATGACACTCATTTAAAAAATATGCATCAATTAAATTTGTGACTGAACTCCTTGTATGTCTTCTGTTCTTGTTTTACCTGCATTTCTGCCATATATTTCATGTTATAGCATCTCGGATGATGACCCAGCATGTGTTCCTTTTAAGAACTTTCACTGCAGATTTGACAAAACACAAAGAACGTACCAATGTGAGATTTCTAAAAATAGCTACAGCACTCGACCCAAGGTTTAAGAATCTGAAATGTTAAGAGTAACACTCTGATGCGGAAACTACAGAACCAGAACCACCAAAAAAGAAAATCAACTTTCTGCTGATGGCATCTGAGCCAGATGATGAAAATGAACACGTGTTGGTCTGTACTGCTTTGGATCATTATTGAGCAGAACCAGTCATCAGCATGGACACATGTCCTCTGGAATGGTGATTGAAGTATGAAGGGACATATGAATCTATAGCGCATCTGGCATGTAAATATCGTGCAACGCCAGCTACAACACCATGCGAACGCCTATTCTCACTTTCAGGTGACATTGTAAACAAGAAGCGGGCAGCATTATCTCCTGCAAATGTAAACGAACTTGTTTGTCTGAGCGATTGGCTGAAAAAGAAGTAGGACTGAGTGGACTTGTAGGCTCTAAAGTTTTACATTGTTTTGTTTTTGAGTGCAGTTATGGAACAAAATTCCTTCGTAAGTTGCACTTTCAGGATAGAGATTGCACAACAGTACTTGTAGATGTGAATTGCAAAATACTATTTTGCTCATCTTTACAGTGCAAATGTTTGTAATAAAAATATGAAGTGAGTACTGTACACTGTATTCTGTATTGTAATTGAAATCAATATATTCAAAAATGTAGAAAAACATCCAAAAATATTTAATAAATTTCAGTCGGTATTCTAATGATTAATAGTGCAATTAAAACTGCTAATAATGATCAATCACCATTAACTCATGCGATTAACTAAACAAAATTTAATCGACAGCCCTACTAGTTATACTGGTAGTCCTAAGACTAGACTAAGTTTGTTTTCAGATAACTGGCTTTTGGTACCAGAACGATGCTGTGCTCACTGGGATTTAAATCCTGCCACAGTTGCACTAAACCCATGCCAGTTAGTGATCCCCATCCAACCTGTTTAATGTGACATTGGGTGAATCCCGTATCAGTGACAAACACATCTCCAAGAGGTTTAAGCTCCTCCGAGTGGTGGACATCTTCGTATCAGCAGCCCCTGCCAGGGTGGTCCTGCCAATTGGTGAAGCCATTATGGAGCCAGTCAAAGTGTTATGACACCATTCTCCTTACCCCACACAGCAAAGGGTGCTGAAAGGAAATACTACATCCCCTCTAAGGATTATAAATACTTGTATTCCCATCCTCCCCTGGGTTCCTTGTTGGTGACAGCTGCTAATAAATGGGAGAGACGTGTACCTAGTGACAACACTGACAGGCAAAAAGATGCAAAGGAACTGGACTTGTTTGGATGCAAACTTTATTCCACAGGGAGTCTTCAGCTCAAGAATCAAATCAACAAGCACTTCTGAGCTGCTCTGACTCCACCCTCTAGGAAAACAACATCTTTAAATTTTATAATCTGCCAAAGCACTGTAAGCAGGAGTTTGCAGTAATAGTAGATGATGGCAAGTTGATTGCCAGAACTGTTCTCCAGGACATCGTGTGCAGTGCAGATGTGGTGGTTCGAAACATGGTATCAGCTGTTACAGTGAGAAGAAGTTCGTGGTTACAGTCATCCAGGATTTTGCCAGAAGTCCAGTAAACCATCATGGACCTCCCTTTCAAAGGTCCCTGTTTATGTTCAGATAAGATGGACGATGGGCTCTGTAGCTTAAAGGATTCCAGTGATCTGTATTCTGGTGAAAGAGAGGAAACATTTTGGTCATCAACAGCCATACAGACTCCAGGGTTTTCCTCCTCTGTCTCAAGATTTGCCAAGGAGAAAGGGCAGGAGTTATACAGGGCAGTCTCTACCATCCTCCTCTTCAGCATTAGTGGGCTCATGCTTTCCAGCTGCTGCATTCCAACAAGCATTTTGACGCGTTTGTTGAGGACAGTACACCAGTGTCTGTAGTTCCCTCTATTTCCTGCCCTTTGTTTTTCAACTGATTATCCCACTTTCTAAGACTGTGGGTCCAAATAACCTCGGATCAGTGGGTCTTAAGCATGGTAGAACTGGAATATTCCCTCAGGTTCATTTATACACCCCCCTCCCTCCCCCTTCCCTACTCTCCTTCAGTGACTGCTCTGACAAGATCATCCGTCATTAGGAGATCTGGTTGCTTCTTCAATTGGGGCCACAGAGGAAGTTCAATTAGGCCTCAGAGGGGAAGGCTTTTATTCCTGATCCCCAAAGCCAAAGAAGTTCTCAGGCCTATTGTAGATCTAAGAGAGTTAAACAAATTCCTGAAGAAAATAAAGTTGCTCATGGTTAGTGGTTACCATAGCCTTGATTATTCCTTCCTGGAACATGGGGACTGATACACTTAAAGAATGCTTGCTTCCATGTTGTGATTTGACACTGCCATTGGAAGTTTCTCAGATTTGTGGTAAATGGGTCCCACTGTCAGTTCAGTGCTCTAGTTTGGTCTCTCAGCCACTCCTCAGATACTCAAAGTGCATGGTGGTAGGTGGGAACTCATCTGCATAAATCAGGAGTCCATGTGTTCCCATACCTAAGGTACTATGAAATCTGTGTTCATGGATAGAATCATGGAATCAGAACGTTAATGCAGAATTCTGCTCTCCCCAGCATTGAGACCACAGCGGCAGGCAAGGTGGGCTGCATGGTTGAGCTACTGTGCAGCTACACTTGAGTCAAGCTGCTCTGGATCAGGAGCCTCCTGTTTTGTGTTGAGCAGAGCCTGAGGG